CCTATAGGCACAATAGGATCTCGAGTAAAAGGTCCAGCTTTTTCGCTCTTTTCCTCGTGAACCATCCCCATTATTATATTCTCCAGGTGACCGCTATAGCTGCTGCGACAACGTATCTGCCTCGGAGAACAGGCGGAAACGGAAGCATAGCTATGGGTAAGAGGTACTGCCTAGAAACGTGTAAATCAGGCATAAAGTTTCAGTGGTAAGCAAGAACTGAATAACGAATTGGCCAGAATTTTGTCGGGTGCTCTAGGAGTTTGATCTAAGTAACATGGACATAAATCTGTTGATGCCTAGATCGCAGAAGCAGGGGTAGGATGCAAAACGCGCAGGAGGCAGATACACTTACCACCAGAGCTACTGAATGCATTTTGAGGGCGACCTTCGTGGGCAAACACTCCTCTCCCGGAGTCGGACAACTGCAAGAACCGACGTTCTCGTAGCCGTAACTTTCCGTTTCTCCATAACCACCGTCTGGGGCGACGCAGGAAGGCGTGGGTCGTCGGTTTGGATCAGACGAGTAGGGATAGGTGTTGGCGCCGGGGTAGTAGAGGGCTCGCTGACTAGTGTAGGTCAAACGCGTGGAATGGGTGGGATTATTGCAGCGTTTTACGTAAACCCCCGGGGGCAGGAAGAGCGTAGCCTTCTCTTGTTCCATGCCCAGGAGCGACTGCGTGCAGAGAGTTCGGTTCTGTGGCGAGCAGGCATATTTTACAAATTCCCGGTACTCAAAGTAGGCATTGCGTAGTTCAGAATCGGAATCTGCGTTAACAAAACACATCTGATTACTCTTGGGTGTGTGCGTACTAAACGCGGCTACGTTGTTAAGCATTGTTCCACTCCTCCATGCTATGATGCGGAAGTTGATTAAAATTGTATTTACGCACTTGGAACATTTTATTTATCGTTTACTTATGATCCCCAAATAATTAGGAATTAATCGGCACTGAGCATAGTAATGATAGGAGCATATCCTGCATAAATTGTCTTAACAAAATTGTCCTGTTTATCTGCAAATAGAGAATACCTGAGGTACCTGACGCGTTATAAATATTCAGGAATAAATCGACAACGACAAAAAATATTGAAACTGTATGCTTTTTTGAATGGCTCCTGCGTCTTCGTATAGTAATAACTCTAATCATGAGAGGTCGCTAGTCACCCGAAACTGGACAACACCCATACAGCTGCAACTCATGTGACCCACAAGTAAAGTGAGGATTAGATATCGTTATCACAATCAAAGCGAGTTCAGCCTGTTTTTGTTGCAGATGTATAGCTCATCGAGTCAACCTACCGATCAGTCTCTTATGGAGCAGTTAATTTTCAAAATAATGGATTGAGTAGGACAAAATATCAAAATTAAAGTTTATCCTTAGGAAACTGTTTCCCTCGTCGACTTAACGTAAGTTCAGGCCGGAAAAATCTGATTCTCACAGAGCAGTTGGCATCTAGAGGTGTGGAATTACTATCTAGCGAATATGGTCGCCCACAGCAAGCGAAACGATAAATTTCTTAAAAAAATTGATTTTTTCAGTACAAAAGGGTTTCTTGAAAGGAGTTGTGTATATATTTAACCGGTTTTTTTTATTGATGAAAAGGAAATGCACGAGTCACTAAGATACAGACATCGTTCCCCAGCTGACCTCTAGCTGAATACCAGTATAAGTTCATCCCGTACTACAGTTGGCCTTGGGCTAACTTCCAAGAGTCAGTACCGTTACCCGTTTCTTAACTTTAACTGTGGCCTTAACCTAATCCTGATCTTGATCTTAATTCTTTTAAACTTTACCCTACCCCTCCCAGCTATAATCCAAGCAGTCCTAATTATAGCAGTAACACCAACCCTTATAATCGGGTCATACCCGATCCCTCAGACGCCACAGTCGACTTGCATTGGCTCCCGTGAGCAAGCCATACGGATCAAAAAGCGAGGGCTGGCATTAATGGCTGAAGGAACATACGGTGATATGGCTAGGGAAAGGCAGTCAAAACATTACAATCTACTATATTCCCGTGAGCCTGCTAAACACTAGAAAGGCTAAGGAAACGTTCTAGGGGAATCATTAGAATGATGTCATCAGGCAACAACGGTAACGAAAGCGGCTGAATCAATGAAATGCAACTCTTATGTCTGTAAAATGTTTATAGACCATCTGTATCTACTATGAAATAAAGTCGAATAACTGGTCTCTAACATACAAACAATGGAAGAATATACGCTAGAGACCGTTATCTAAGTGTTCTATTTCTTCTTTTCTTCCCTTACCTCCATCTGTTGAACAAACAGCTGATTCTGTAGCTGCATTTTGCATGAAACTACAGCATAAGACTGGTTATTTTTATTTTATCAAATTTCCATGCACTAGATAACCGACCAGTTCGAATGGCAGGTGAGACCTGGGAATGGGAAAAGAGAGTGAGTTCGATAGTTAAAAGCAGCCTGCTCACTATGAGCAATCTGATGCGCTTGAAGAAAGCACAAATCGCTGAAAGCCGTGAACTGGAGG